TATAGTTTTTTTTTTTTCCCCTCCCATTAATATTGATAGTAGTTTAATGTTTTCACCTCTAGTAAATAGAGTTTGAACAATAAATTTTAAATCAATCAATTTCAGATGTTGATTTAATGGAAAAATATTTGACCAAACTCTCATAATGAATTATTGAGGCCCCCCTTTAACTAAGGGTTTTTAAGTGGCACAGTGATCTTTGGGCACCCCCAAACAACTCTGAGATTAAAGCCAGCACCCGGACCCAACTGGGTACCATACACCACTTGCCCTTCTTTGACCACATCCAGATGCTCCAGTGCTTAAGTGCCTATTTCCTTCTCCCTGTCCAAGTGCTTTCTCTTTGGAGAGAAAGAAAGGAAATATGCGTCTCCTTTTTCTTCCTGTCTCATAATTTTACGTTTCTCTTAGTGAAAAAGGTTTTGTGAGGATAACATAGTTTGGGAACAACTCCAGACTATGAACTACAAAGTTACTTCTGCCAGATAAGTATTTATTATATACTAATTGCAATGTTTTCTATCAGGATGTATAACTTTAATAATCTACATGAATTTTCTATATTTGCTAATGTATCCAGCTTTTCCAGAAATTTAAACCTTTAAGATTGGGCTAAATTTAAATATTGTGTCAAGAAAATATCTGTGCTTCTGGATAAGACAGACAAGACTTTTCTCCATCTTCTTAAATAAAAGAGGGATAATGGAACAAAATAACAAAAAAAAGAGGTATAATTGTGCTTTTTTTTTTTTAAGAAAAAAAAAAAAATGAATGAATTATGTAGAACAAACTGGCAAGATGGTCTCATTAAAAATCTTTTAATTAATCTTATTTTCCTTTTAGAGGAAAATTTGTAAATTTGTAAGTTTCTAGTGATGCTAATATAAAGTATAAATAGGTATGTCCTACACAAAATGGAAGGGAGATTGCTTTGGTTCCATTTATCAAGTGATAAGTTGAGAAAATTGGGATGGTATTGATATTTCTTATCAAATAAATAAAAGGAAGTATGTATTAAATTATTTTATTGGTATCAATTTTTTCTTAATTCTAAAAAGCTGCCTATATAACTTCGAAACATTTAATCTAATATAGCAATCATCTTATTTCTTAATCAGGAACAAGAACATTGTTCCTTTGAGAAGCCCTTTTCTAGGTCTTTTTGCTCTGTTCCTTCAGATTGATAAACCAGAAACCAAACCCAGTGCCACTGAATTGATTCTGACTCATAGCAACCCTACAGGATAGAGTAAAACTGCCCCATGTGGTTTCCAAGGCCGTAAACCTTTAGGGAAGCAGACTGCCTCATCTTTTTCCTACAGAGTGGCTGGGGGGTTTTAACTGCCAACCTTTTGGTTAGCAGTTGACTGCCTTAACCACTGCACCACCAGAGTTCTGTCAGATTAATACAGAGAATTAAGGAAAGTTCATGACCAAACTATACTGCTTGTGAGAACAGGATTCAAACAATTACATTCACCTCTCCCTAGGGAGGGCCCATTACCATGGGCGAATAAAGAATCACTAATAGATGCATTGAGAGATAATCTTTGGCTTTGTATGTGATAACCAAATTCAGGGATGAAATAAAACTTAAGGGGTAGAAAGAATGATACAATGAATTGTCATGACCTATCTGGCCTTTCCTCTTCAAAATGCAGAATACTATACCAAACAATTCTTTTTGGTCAAATGACCACTTTTAATTTCCAGATTCTTGCATAAACCAAAAAAACCAAACTGACTGCCATCAAGTCACATCCGACTCAAAGCAATCCCTCCTTGGGTTTCCAAGGCAGTATCAATACAGAAGTAGACTGCCCAACCTTCTTTCTGAGGAGTAGGCTGGTGGGTTTGAACTGCCAGCCCTCTGGTTAGCAGTCAAATGCCTTAGGCACTACACCACCAGATTCTCCCATATAAGGTGGCTAATAGTTAAATCTGAGTACCTTAGATTAGGAGATAGTTCATTCAATCCAAAGCATCTCATGAAATGACAGAAAAATATAAAGGAAAAAAAGGACTTAAGGCGTTCTTAATGAAGCAATACGATTAGTAGAGTATCTAGGGATGGTGATGGGGAATAGATTTTAAGCTAAACACCCACTGACAAGCTATATTAGTGTTTTGTGTATACAGGTATAAATGTACTTTCCATTTTACAACTTATTTTTAAAAAAGAAAAATTTTACGTTATTTGCATCTAAGGGGTTATTTCTTTTCTTACACAGTTTTATGCTGGTTTAAGGTCTATTTTCATAAAGTGATCCACACACAAAAAGACAGAATCCGCTTATCCTGTAATAAGGAGAATACAGACAAGGCAGGGAATAAAAAGACCATCATACTGACATTTAAAGCTTAGTATATTCTTTAATATTAAAGTCTATTGGTGAATCGTATTTTGGAGAGAGAACATTTTTTGAATTACGTAGAAACAAAATAACCTTTCCTTACTTTTCTTCTTAATCCAATGGGCTTGAGTCCCCTGGGACTTGACACTTCCTTTGGTAGTAATTTTGGGAAATTAATGCTATAACCTCTAATCCAGTATGGTGGGTATCAGCATTTCCCTCCCTGAATCCTTCCTTCTAACTTCCACCACTCCCAAGGGAGGGGCCCATTACTATGGGCAGCTACAGTATTATTGATAGCCCTAAAATCATTTCCACGACTAAAGTTAGAAATGTCAAAAGAAAGAAAATTAGATTTAACTATCAGAGAAATAACAGGATAAAGAGGAGAGAAATTAGTAACTGACACTACCATTCTATTTACATACCAAACTAAATAAACTAGTTAAAAATCAAGTTAATGTCTGCCCAGAGGATATTACAATTTACCAACATAAAAGATTAAAAACAAGCAGCAACTTTTATATAAAATTAATAAAGACAAATGAAAAAGAAATTGTCAGTAGCATCTAGATCCTCAATGTGTCTGAACTGCACTTTATAAACTAGTCCATTAGTACAGCAGCTTGCTAAAAATTGACTTTGGTTCAAGCTTAGTTTGAAAAAAAAAAAAAAAAAAAAAGACAAACATAAAAAACCACACCACAAACAAAAAGGTAGATGGGTATTTGTTAGTTTCCCTGCTTGCTGTTGACTAAATTTGGGAAGGTGAAAGAAGGGGTGAGAAGTGGAAATTTAGGGGCGGTAATTACATACCTTGTGAAATAAAGTGAGAAGACAGGAGGAACTAAAGAAAAACAGAAAGGGGGTAAACGTTCCTGGTCTTTTTTTTTTTTTCAAATAACGTGACTGCCTCCCACTTGAATCACAAAAGTCCATACCATGTCTGTATTTATTACCTTTCTGAACACTGGCAGAGAGACGAGCACACAGAATCCAAGCTCCCTTGTACATACAATGAGAATGAAAATTGACTGTTAGCTCTCTCTGAACTCCCAGCTTGAAAAGGGGAAAAGTGCAGCTGTGGGACCACCAGAGATGTAAACAAGCACCCACAGACACCATATGGGAACGTCTAACTCCAATTAGGAAGGGAACTTAGTTGAACTGCACTGCAGTGGTCCAGTCTTTTGGGATTTTTTTTTGATAAAGATATATAATAATAGTTCATTAACAAAAAGGGGGCTCTAATCTCCAAATTACCCTCATTCCTCTTCATCTACTTTCATTGAGCTCATCTACATAGGTTAGAAACACCCTAAAAACAAAGCTCACCCTTTCTATGTTGAATAGAGAAGCATATTGCCGGTTAGACCTATCCAGCAGGAGCAGCACTAACAAACCAAGGAGACAGCTGAGGTGTGTGCAAAGTCTTTGCTCAAGGTCCTTCTTCAAAGGTCCTGCAGACAACATGCCTGGCTTGTGAGTGTCTCCTTTAGTTAGAGAACCAAGGAGAGTCTCAGGGCTAGAGAAATGCATAAGCCTGCCAGAAAAAAGGAAGTCTGTGGCTAGAGGAAAAAGTTGTAACCTCAGAGACTCTTCTCATCACACCTCTTCTGGATACAAATCAATGGAAAATAGTCTAGTAGAGTTCCTTTCAAAAATAAAAGATGGGAAAAGTTTCCCAATTTCAGTAAGTCAATTTGTTTTTTGCCAAGGAAGTTAAAGAAAGTTTGGATGAAACACTTTCACAAAATGGAAACAAACAAACAAACAAACCAACAGTAGGAGCATTTTTCAGGAGATAAGAAATCAGGAGAACCACCAAGTCAGGTGTCCGCAGTAGTCTTTGCTCGTCGGAACCAAATCCTGCCGGCAACATGTGCAACCATTCCCACTGAAAGTAGCAGAAAGCAGCACTGTTGCCCCACAGGATCTGGGCCCCAAGGTCATTCAATGATTTGGGGGTGAATGAGAGCTACAGTTCAGCAGGAATTCCTTCCTACACAAAAGTGCTCCAAAGGCACCACCTGATGGGGAAGGGGGCAGGTGTGGAGTGGGAGTGTTTGCACACATTGCCTTCAGCTTCTATACCAAGCCTCTTGCATAAGTGGCAAAAGAAAATAATTTTCTAGCACCTCTGTAAGAGTCATCAAGGATAAGGAAACCAGCAAGAACATGCCCCGCAGTTAAGAACGTAAGTCTTCCCTTACCCCGAAACCCTCCCTCCCCACAGTGTGGGAGCTCACTGAAATAGGATCCAGGAGCAGGAGATAAATGTGTCCAAACTATATATATATCTATCTATATATATATAAAAACAATAACAACAACAACAATAATAATAGAGATACAGTAATACAGGCCTGCCTAAATTGTACCAGTTAAAAAGGAACCCCCAACACAATTGATATGATTATAAACACCTTGTTATGCCTTAATGGCCTGTACAACAGACCCATAAAAATGATTTTTTTTTTTTAAGGAAAAAAAAAAAAAAAAGAAAGAAAGAAATTTAGACAAACAGAAATCCCCTTCCTATATTGGAAGTGTTAACCCACCTTGTCATCATGACTGCTGGAAATGATAAGTAGTCCTTTCACTTATTTTTTATGATTTTTTCTTTTCTTTTTTTTTTTTTTAAACATTTTTGGTTAGAAAGTTTTCCAATCCATGAAGCAATCCTGAAAAGACAGTGTTTTATTACAAAATTAGGCAAATGTTGTCCCATCTTCATCCTCCCCCCACCCCCCCAAATCATGTGTGGTATTTTCTTCTCTCCTGTGCCCTCAGCAACATGGTGAGAGGAAGCCAATCACATTTTCAGTTTATTAACCTGGCTGGCAGCCCAATCACACTGCAGAGTGAAAAAGGCTGGCGCCAGCCCAGCTCACTGTGCCTTGGAGGCAGTAGTGGTGGTGGAAGCAGCCCCGCTGGCAGAGGTCACTGTGAAGAGAGAGTTCTGGATGGACTCAGCTGAGGTGGAGGTGGCATGAAGGCTGGCAACAGGTCCAGAGTTCCCTGCGGAGGCTGCAGCGGCAGAGACCAAGCTAACTGGGTTGCTGGTGAGCAGAGAGAGGTTCTGAGGGTTCAGGAACAGAGGGGCAGTCACGATGTTGGGGGCTCCTCCTGCGTTGGCAAATACCAGGTTCCCAGTTGCATCCAGTGACGTTATTGGAAGAGAGCCACCAGAAGCAAGAGCTGCAGACAAAATCCCCAAAAAACATGCAGGAAGGAGACCATTAGCATCATCATGGAGAACCCAAAAAACTTATCAGAGGTCTACTGAGTTTTCCTATAACTCAGGAATAAAAAGTACAGCCCTTAATTTATTTTTTTTCTCAATCACAGTGCTATATGACACCAAAAGAGGCTATTTATTTTTGAAAGATTCTAAAAAATTGAAAAATCTTTAGTAATTCAATGAGCATGAGGATGTGTGAGAAGAGAACCAGAGTCAAAGAGTCTAGTTTTTATCTTGAAATATCCACTTCATTTCATTTACTTAGAAGTATTTTTTTAAATCCAGTAATTTTGATTTTAACGAAGAGTGCTGATTTTAAACTACCTCCATTCAAAAGACAAACTAGCAGCTGTTGATTAAGGCATTAAAAACAGATTTAGCTTTTATCAAACCAACTGACATCATTAATAAACTTTAAAGTAAAATATATAAAATAAAAACCATCTTTCAAAAGGCTTTATGTCTAAAATCAATTATAATATATAATTATTATATAATGACACAATATAATTATTGTGTAAGTAACTGAATATAATTGATTTAACTATTTGGTATATTTGGTAATACACAAAATAAAGTTGTGACTAATTTTTCACTTCCTGAGTCTTCAAAAATGATTAGATTTCTATGACTTGTAAAAATGAGAATGATGAGTCTACTGTAGGAGGAAATCAGGGAAGTGGTGATGTAGGTGGCCCTTGGTAGGTTATTTAAGACTAGGACTTGCTTTACTAGGTGAGAATTTGCCTACAATGCTATTGCTTCCTCACAAACATGATCATCAAAATTTTATTTAAACTAATTGGGCACTCTTATGTAATAGCTTATCCTGTTATTACTAGATAACCCATCAAATCTCCCCACCCATATAATTACACCTCTACATGCAGATTTAGGGTCTTATCTACTGGCATTGGTAGCATAGTGCCAAAGGCACTTGACTGCTAACCAGAAGGCTGACGGTTCAAACCCACCAGCCACTCCTTGGAGGTTGGGCATTCCTACTTCCGTAGTGATACTGCCTCGGAAACCCAAGGAGGGGTCGCTATGAGTCGGGGCCGACTCGATGGCAAATAACAACAACAACAACAACTACTGGCATTAAAATTTTAGTTGATTTCTTACATAATATACAAAAAAAAGGTTGAAGAGCTAAAGGGAATGCCCTGACTTTAGACATGATCATACTGTCGTACAGAAAAGTGAGACCTGGTGCACTTTCAAGTTTTCTGAGATTTCAGGCTTAGCATCACAGACTGATTCTAGATCTTTCCAGACTGTCTGCTGTACAGTCAATCATGCCCTGAGGAAGCATTTTGCCTTTGGAGTATCCCAGTAGCCCAGAGAGGCTCTCTAATATAGAAGAAAAGTGATTCATCACAGATTTTATTCCAAAAAGAAATCCTTCTATAACAAAAGCTTTTAGATCTAACCATCAATTTCAAGTATGAATTAGTCAATTAGAAAGGCAATATAATTTTTAATATAAGGTAATTAAGGGCTTGGTCTTATCTGTAATTAACATTCTCTGTAGTATACTGTAAAGAGTTCTGATGGTGTAGTGGTTAAGGCATTTGGCTGCTAAACAAAAGGTTAGTGATTAGAACCTACCAGCTGCTCTGTGGAAGAAAGATGGGGCAGCCTATTTCCATGAAGATTTACAGCTTTGGAAACCCTCTGGGGTCACCATGAGTTGGAATCGACTCGATGGCAGTGAATTAGTTTTTTTTTTTTTAAATAGTACATTGTAAGAACTTTGGTGATTCAGTGGTTAAAGTATTTGCCTGCTAACCAACAGGTCAGTGATTTGATCCTACTAGCCACTCCATGTGAAAAAGATTAGGCAGTCTGCTTCTGTAAAGATTTACAGTCTTAGAAACCCTATGGGCAGTTCTACTCTGTCCTATAGGGTCACTATGACTCAGAATCAACTTGATGGCAGTGGGTATGGTTTTGAGTATAGTACATTATAAGGAGCCCTGATAATATAACCATGAAGTGCTTAGCTGCTCACTAAACATTAGCGGTTTGAACCCACCAGTGGCTCTGCAGTATAAAGACCTGGCTATCTGCTCTCATAAAGATTTCAGCCTAGAAAACCTTATGGGGCAATTCTACTCTATCATATGTGGTCACTATGAGTCAAAATCAATGGTAAGGCATCTAATAACAACAATACAGCACACTGTAGAGATTTCATTCATGAAATACTAACATTAACTGAAGTTGACTAAATGCTTATTTTTGGGCCTAGAACTCTTGTTTAAGCACAGAATATAAATATATCTTAATTTTTATTGTGATTTGGGTGAAAATTTACAGAGCAAATACATTTTCTATACAGCAGTTCATATACATGTTGTTTCATGACACTGTCTGCAATCCTCATGTTAACAGCTCTCTTCCTACTTCCTCCCAGTAGTTACCTCTTCCTTGTGTCCTTCTTTCTTATGCATTCCTGCCCACTGAGCTATCTCCCTGAGCAAACACTCCCCTTCTGATCTCCTGTGTTTGATTATTGTAAAGAGTGTATCTACCTGGTGTACATGATGTTCACTCTATATGCCTGTCTATTGTTTGGGCAGAAGCCATGGGAAAGAGTTCAATTCCAGGCCTAAAGAGTAAGTAGGGGCCATAGTCTTGGAAGTTTCACAATTTTCTATCAGATCAATAAGTCTTTTTTTTTTTTTTTTAAATGATTTTGAGTTTTGTTCTACATTTTTCTCCCACTCTATCCAGGATCTCCTGCACTGATACTTTTCTGAGTGGTTGACAGTGATAGCCAGGCACCATCTAGTTCTCCTGGTCTCAGGGTCATAAAGACTGAGGTTGCCATGGTCCACTAGTCCCCTGGAGTAACTGTTCCCACGTGTCTTTTGTTTTCTTTATTCTTCTTTGCTTTGGATGAGCAGAGAGCAATTGTTGCAACTAGATGTCCTCTTGTAAACTTTTAAGGCCCTAGTAGCCACTCAACAAAGTAGGATACAGAACAATGTTTTTTGCATAATATGTTATGCCAATTGAGCTTGACGTCCCTTGCAACTACAGTTCTGAGCCTGCAGGTCCAACAACTCCCTCCATCCATTGGTTGTAGCTAAGAAGTTATAACTTTGACCCCTATTATTTCTATTTATATGGACATTCATATAGCACATACAAATACATATGTAGAAATACTGTTTGCCAACCTTATGTATGATCATGGGTATATTCACTTTTGCCTAGATATACCTGATCATTCAGCCTATTTTAATTTTTAAGGAATACTCTCTGGTTAATATAATAAAGCCTCTCAAATTATTTCTCTGAGTTATATAACAGCATCTTCAAACATAAAGTTTACAAGCTGAAAAAAGGGAAGCCACTCACTATATGGAATAGAAACACATGAGTAACATGCTAAGGCCAAAAGGGATCCAACTGGGCTTGGAAAAAAGACATTTTAATCAAAGAGAACAACTGTTCTGCAATGACAGGGATATAAAAAGGGTAGAACCCAACTAGAATGAAAGGACTCTTACACTCTGCATAATGTGCTCCAAATGTCCATTCATTATACAACCTTCCCACATCTGGCTCTCTTGGGGATGTGACTGGGGAACGTTTACTTGGTCGGGTTTGCTTAAGGATGAGTTTTAGATGAACACCTGGATAAACTTACCAGGAAGAAATCTGCTTCCAAGTCTATTCACACAAGAAGACAAATATAAAGTCCTGGCTTCTCACACTATACCAAACCAAGTATATTCCTGTTCTTACTTACAAACTAACACCTCTACAAAGCTTTTGTACAAGAACATTTTCTTGGTCCTCAAAAACAAATCAGTTGGCATTATCAATTCCACTGACTATCTCCATCACCTTCATCTTTAGCAAAGCAGGCTTCCTTCATTAAAATAGAGAAGAAGGGAGAAAAAAACTAAAAAAGGAAAAAGATTTTACTGACCTTGAATAGTTGCCAGTGTACTGTTGCTCATGAGAGCTGGGCTGAGGGCACCGCCCAGGGTCCCTGGATTGAGACTGAGTAAGGCACCTCTGCAAGTTCAAAAGAGGGGTCACTTTATTACCATGCAGACACATCTGTCAGTTTGACAACATACCCAAAGGCATGGGAAAAAGGAAAATCCATCTAGGGAAGTACATGGAAATAGGTTTTTTCCCCTCAGATTCTAGGTTAGTGTTTCTGAGTTAGTGCTTCCTGTGATGCTTACAAAGAAAAACAAAGTTTTGATCCACATCAGATTTCAAACTTATATAGTCATTTTGACTTCTCTTTGAATTACTTCTTCCCCCTCAGACCCCTAAAACAAAAGCAAAAACTCCAGGGAAAGGGATATATTTGTAAGATAATTCTTAAAATATGTTTGACAATAATATAAAATTGGGACTTGCATTACTATATCTCTTCTCCATTGGAGGATAAAAACTAGACAGTTGAATTTAAAGGAGAAAGCAAAAATCATAAAAATCAGGAATTCTAAGCTTCCTTCCTAGTCCCATCACGCAGGTTATCAGTGATTTAATGTTCTATGTCTTCATCTGGAAATATAGGTATGGTCACTGTCCTTTCCAGGATGTTAAGAAACTTAAATTCAACTTTAATCATGGTCTCTGCACTATTATGCAATAGCCCAATTCAAAGAGATTATTGCTTTAAAGAATTGTTTTTATGTTTTTCAAGATGGTGATAGAAAGTCTTCTCTGTCAGTGTTTCCAGGGGTAACTTCCCAGTTGTTTCTCATTTGTGAATGGGATGAGGAAACTCCTTACCCAGCTGCAAACTGTGAGGGTGCCATCAGGCCTGGGTTTAGTCCTGCAGCAGCAGCCATGGCAGCAAGACTGGCATTTGCTGGCAACTGTGCAGCTCCTTGGAGGGCAGCAGCTGCTGCTGTTTGCAACCCTGACGCTGTCACCATCACCTGGCTGGTCCCAAGAGGGGAGGACATAGGAGTGGAGGTGTTCTGTGTTGTGCTGGTCTCACTGGCACTGGACGCCTCGGAGGTGGAGGCAGAGGCAGAAGGGGAGGGACTCAGAGAAGGGGAGGTGACTGCTGAGGAAGCTGGAGGTGCAGTGGATATCACGGTTGCCGTGTTGTTGGAGGGAGTATCTGTAGTGCCTGAAAAAGGGAATCAGATTAGAAAACGATCTTGTGTGCTTCAGAAAGAATGGTGACTTTATTCAGCCATACTCTAGAATCAATTAATTAATCTAATGATCTCTGTATTTCCCCTTTTGATTAGCCTGGTTTAGTGTTTCTATGAAAATTAACACTTAACAAACATTTTAGAATTAAAGAAATGAACCTTTAAGAGGCACGAGCAATGAAGTAACCATGAAAGAAAGTAAAGTTTTTCACTGTCAGTTTCTTAGTCAGAAAGCAGAAGAAATAGTGTACCACAGAAGCTCTCAGTATGAAATACAACCACTCTGAGGAAAATAAAACTCATAAGCAAAAGCATCCCTGCTTTTGAAAGCATGTTTTCATTCAGAAATCTTCTTAGTAGTTTTGGTAGAGAAGTTAAAACAAAACAACAAAAAGCCATGTACTTTTTTAAGAGTAAGTGCCACATGATGATTAAAGGTATATGTCTAGATGCCATCTTTGTATTAAAAAATTCAAGTAACTATTCTATAATAAATATCAGCTCTCAAAAAGCCCATTCTGGTGAACACTTTCTTATTCACAGAAACAATAAAATAAAATGATATTATCTCATGAAGGTTAGTATGAAAAATGAAGATAGTTTAGAGGCTTTAAAAAAAAAAATCAAGATGCCCAAATTCTTTTAGTTTCAAGGAGAAGAGCAAACATTTCGATATAAATAACTAGTGGTCATCACAAGTGAAAATTAAAACACATTCAATGAGATTATTTAATGTTTGAGATCAGTGTTGTCAAATAGAAATATAACAACATATACAATTGTGGAAATTTTAGTAGCTCCCCTAAAAATAGTAAAAATAAATAGTTGAAATAAAAGCCTTAACAATATCATCTGTTTAACCCAATATATCCAAAATATTATCATTTTAACATGAAATCAATATTGAAAAATTAATGAGTTACTTTACCTTTTTTTTTTTTCATGCTAAGTCGTTGACAATGGTGTGCATTTTACAAGTACAGCACATCTTAATTTGAACTAGCCACACCTCAAATGCTCATAAGCCACAGGTAGCTAGTGGCTGTCATACTGGACAGCACAGGTCTAAAACATATCTATCGGTTAGGCCTGTTGGGTCCCAGAGGCAAGTGTGGCTTAAAGAATGCCAAGTCACTTTGTCTAAAGTAGAAGTGGCTCATAAGGCACTCATAGGATAGATAATCTTCCACAAAGCAGAAGATGTCACTGTCCCCAGTGAGCTGTAGTTTTGATGGGATCTACAAAAGATAGTATAGAACAAGCCCTCATATTTCAGTTATCAATAAACGTCACGTTACAAAAACAGGTACCTAAAGTAGGTGGAACTTAATTTAGCAAAATTCACTATGCTCTAAGATTTAAACAGTCACATATTTGGCTAAAGCAGAACCCAACTGGGATTTTCTCAAGTTAGAAAACTCAAAAAGACAAAAAAGCATCTATACATTTTCAATATAGTATTTCTATGAGGTATAAAAGAGTTGGAATTTATTATGAAAGAACCAGAGCAATAAAAATGAGTATTTCAAACCTATAAGGTTATTATTACACCCTGGAAAAATATCTTATGCAAAAGATTTATTTGTTGTTAACAAAATCTATTACTAGAGCTAAAGAAGACTCCCTTCTCTCAACAATAGCCTTATCCTAAATTCAGGCATTTTTGTCCTTTCAAAATGTATTGTGAGATCTTCTCCTGGGCTACACTAAGAACGCCTAGAGAATTCAACAACTCCAATTTCAACTGTCAGGAAAAGTTCTGTTCACATATCCCAAAACCAGGAGAAACTCAGAGATGACATATTTCAGTACTGATCCTATTCCTCCCTACATCCTACAATGCTGCACAAAAATGGTTATGGGGTCTCTAAGGTCTTCATGTCAATTGAAATGTGTGTCTACTCCTCAAAAAAGAAATATTACGATTTCCTCTGTATTGCTACTGCCCTTAAATACAGTTACACATTTGTGGGTAGTTTTAATCTTATCTTCATTATTTCTTCCATTCTAAATATATCATACCAATCTAGTTCACCGAGTTTTTGTAATTGCCACACTAAAATACATTTTTTTTCCAGGCTTTATACTCTTTTCCTAATGATCTTCTCCTTATTCTGTAGAAAGGCAAATGTCTACTCATTCCTATTCTACTGCTAAGACATTCCAATGTACTTTCAATCTTTTCTTCACCAATTTCTCACCTAATCTAAAATGTGATTTTTCCTCTGGGTACTACTTCCCTTTCAAAATTCTGAAATTGAAATGGCTTATCTTCACAAGACCCCTATCTTAAAGTTAAAAGGCTTAAAATGGCTTTTTTTTTTTCTTCACTCTCCACTGCCAACAGACTACTATCATTTAGTTTCTCCTTCAATCCCATAAACTCACCAAGAAAATGCCAGTCAAACCTCATCAATAAATTTAATCTGGGCCAGGAGATGATAACTACAGAAATAATGCAAAGTTGTTTTTACTGGCTGCAATCCTCCAATCATACTATGGTGTTTTCACTATGAATTCCATGAGGTTCAATGTGAAGCTCCTAAGACCTACGGTAAAACAGTATGATCTTTATTCTTCAAGCCAACTGTGTCATGTTTTAATTAAAATTCTTATTACTTGGGCAATTTTGATCAAGGAATTTAGGTGTGCTAAGCCTCAATGAAGAACTCTGGTGGCGTAGTGCCTAAGACATGTGACTGCTAACCCGAAGGCTGGTGGTTCAAACCCACCAGCCACTCCTTGGAAGGAAGATTGGGCAATCTACTTCCATAGCGATACCACCTCAGAAACTCAAGAAAGGGTTGCTATGTGTAGGAACTGACTTGACAACAGTGAGTTTGGTTTTTCTTGGTTGGTTTAAGCCTCAATGTCCTGAGCAACAAAATAGGATGCCACAATCTACCTCTCAAGTTGGTAAGAATATGCAGGAATATATATGCAGGAATATATATAACATGTCTGGCCCCTCCTCTTGCCTTACCCCAGCTTTTTAAAACAGTTTAAAAGAAGTTTATTGAAACATAATTTTTCTGTGCCATAAATCCACCCAATTAAGCATAAAATTTGATTTTTTTTAAAGTATATTTACAGACCTGTGTGACCACCACTACAATCCCATTTATAACATTTCCACCACCCCAAAAAGATTCCTTGTGCCCATTTGCAGTCACTCCTCACTTCCACCTATAGCCCTAGCCCTAGTCAACTGCTTTTGGTCTGTATGTTGTTATGTGCCATCGAGTGGGACTCGACTCACAGCAACCCCTTCTTGGGTTTCAGAGGTGGAAGATGGGGCAATCTACTTCCGTAGTGATACTGCCTCGGAAACCCAAGGAGGGGTCGCTATGAGTTGGGTCCGACTCGACGGCACACAACAACAACAACAACAACATCACTACAGAAGTAGATTGCTCGACCTTCCTTCTGAGGAGTGGCTGGGTGGGTTTGAACTGCCAGCCTCTGGTTAGCAGTCAAGTGCCTTAGGCACTACGCCACCAGAGCTCCTTTTGGTCTGTATAGATAATGCTGTTTTCTGGACTTTTCATATAAATAGAACTCTACAATATGTAATCTTTTACATCTGGCTTTCACCTAGCATAAGGTTTTTAAGGTTAATCTACACTGTAGCTTCTAGATTTTGGCTATTATGAATACTGCTCTATGAATATCTGTGTTCAAGGTTTATGCAGACATTTATCTTTGGGAATTGCTGGGTAGGATGGTAAATTCATATTTAACTCTAATAAATAACCAAAATATCTTCCAAAGTGATTGTATTATTATATATTCCTACTGGGAATGCATGAGGATCCTAACTTCCCTACATCCTTCCCATACTTAATTATTGTTGGTCTTTTTGAATATAGTTATTATAGTAATGGGAAGTGGTATTTCATTACAGTTTTAATTTGTATTCCCCTAATGAGTAATAATATGATTTTTTTTGTGCTTATTAACCATTCTTATACACCCACTCTTCATGTATTGGCATGCTTAGTTTCTAAAGGCCAGGTCACTGTGCAAAAATTGGCATTATGCAAAAATGGAGGATAACCACATAACAGCACAAAATGGAAGATGACTACATCATTCTATTACTGCCATATTGTTGTTGTTAGTTGCCACTGAGTCATGTCCGACTCACAGTGACCCTATGCACAGTAGAACGACACTGCCCAGTCCTGCGCCAGCTCCATGATCCTAATCCTTGCTATACTTGAGCCCATTGTCGCAGCCACTGTGTCAATGCATCTCATTGGCTTTCTCCTCTTTCGCTGACCCTCCACCTTACCAAGCATGACATCCTCCTGCTCCAGGGAATGGTCCCTTCTGACAACATAACTATGTGAGATGAAGTCTGGCCATTCTCACTTCCAAGGAGAATTTGGCTATACTTTCTCCAAGACAGATCTGTTAGTTCTTTTAGCAGTCCATGGTACTTTCAGCTTTCTTTGCCAGCACTACAACTCAAAAGCATCAATTCTTCTTCAGTCTTCCTTATTCATTGTCCAGCTCTCACTAATCTCTGTCTAATCTTTCAAGCTGCTGTTGTCAATTTGATCCCATAGAAACAGATCTTTGAAAAGAACAATACTGCCATATTACATCATTACATAACTCCCAAACCAAAGAGAATCATGGCCCAGCCAAGCTGACGCATAACCGTAACTATTACAGTCAGCATTACACTTGCCTTGCACCTCAGCATTTGTTATTGCTAGACGTATGCCCTGTGTGCAAAATAGATGGATAGAGTTTTTCTTTTTCCTGCCATTGTTGTAAATGTGAAATGTTGGATACTGAGATAGTCGACAAGTGAGGAATAGGTGTATACTCTTCGATAAAATATCTATTAAAATACTTTGTGCATTCAAGAATTGGGTTATTATTGAACTGTAGGAGTTCTTTATATATTTTGGATACAAGTCCTTTACCATATATGTGATTTGCAAGTGTTTCTCCTAGTCTG